CTCTTTCCAAAAAAAAAAAAAAAAAAAAAAAAAACTTTTTACAACAACGAATGCCAATGCGACATTTCACGCACGTGTTAAGGACCGGAGTTCGTGTGTGTGTATAATTATAGAGTGATGGCCTGAGGTCCTACTCAGAGCAGAAAGGTCTTAGAGAGGAGCATCATGTCGCCGCTACTCTCCTGGGTCTCAGTCACTTCTTTGGGTATGGAGGCCTTCCAAGACTTTGCTGCTCTTTCAAGTTATTTGCATATATGTTTTTTTTCTATATTTTTCTGTGATTTGTTTATTAAATGGATTATATTATATAATATTAATGATCAATATAAAATGAATATAATGGATAATATAAAATCAAGTGTAATATAAATGGATAATATAAAATAAGTGTAATATATAATGGATAATATAAAATCAAGTGTAATATAAATAGATAATATAAAATCAAGTGCCGTATTTCATAAATGACTGAGGGATACTTTATAATCTTGAGCACCTTCTTGTATTTATGGACAGGATCTTCAACCAGTGCTTTGTGTACATCAGCCAGATTACGTGAGTCCTGACATTTTAATTACCATTCCAATGTCTTTGATAAAAAGAGCTCATTTTTTCACGTTTTTTATAGATAGAGCTAATTAATAATCTGCAACAATTTTACATTCGTCTGACCAGTTCCAAAGTCGTATTGATAATCAGGATATCGTTTTTCAAAAAGGAAGAAGAAAACAAAAGTAATAACGTGCATTGCTAAATACGGAAAGTACGTAAAAAAAAAAAACAAAAAAAAAAATTCGTCCGATTCAGAATGCCCCGAAGGATTTCACAACATCGCCGACCGCTGCATCCAGTTCCTCACGGAGCCCGGAAGCTGGCACGAGATGAAGGACAAGTGCTTCAACGTGGGCGCCCGCATGGCCAAGGTCGACTCGGACAACTTCATGTACCACCTCGTCAACTTCATCAAAGGGAACAGTAAGAACGACGCCCAGTCGGCGTGAACACTTGTTCTGTCTTTCAGTTGCTAATCTAACCGTCCATACTGGTTCTGTTTTGTTCCCGATTGCCGCAAGAATTCCTCACAGACGACCCTCCTCTCCTGCAGAACTTGACGGCCACACGTACTGGATCGGCGCCTCAGACGAAGGCCACGAAGGCGACTTCAGGTGAACGGACGGGACGCCGTTCTGGGGCGACGACAAGGACCAGAAGCAGGAGCCCGACGGAGGGAGCAAGCAGAACTGCGTCAACCTGAACGAGAACGACCACTTCTTCTTCGGCGACTCGAAGTGCAGCGCGGATTTTGCTGTCATCTGCGAGAAGATTTAATGAAGGTTAAGGAGGCGGCGGTTCTTGTATTTTCTTTATCCCCTTTTCTGTATGAAGTTTCTGATGCGCATTCCACTGTGTTTGAAAAGAAAAGAAAGAGGAGAAGAGAAATTAAAAGAAAAGAAGAGGAAAGTAAAAAGGAAAACAGTATATATATATATATATATAATATATATAATATATATATATATATATATATATATATATATAATCCATATTATAATACACTTATCTTACAGAATTTGACTTAGAATTCATGCTAATATGTGACAGATATATATAAATACATATATGTATGGTTTGTTTTTTTTCCCAACAACTCAACCAGACCTCTTCCTTGCGTCCTTAAAATGATGTTGTATATTCTAAATCTTCGTGTTCTCACAAGCCTTTTGGGACTACCATTCGTGTGATACCTATGTTATATGATTTAGTAGAGAAGGAATGGATGGTAAATTGGGGATAGTAAAAAAATGATGGTAAAGAGGGGAGTATTATTCGGCCGATAGCGCACAGGATTAAACCAAAAAATGTTTGTAATAATACTAAACAGTCCATTCGGGTTTGATAAATATGTGGGGCGTGGCGTCTGCCTTTGGTTGAGGCCACAGGCAATCTATATGTATTTTGTGGGTGTAATGAATATAAATATAAATATATAAATGTATATCTATACATATATGTATGTATAATTTATGTATAATATGATATGTGTGTGGTGTGTGTGTGTGTGTGTTGTTTGTGTGTGTGTTGTATGTATGATATAGTGATATAGTATATAGTATATATAGTAGTATAGGTATAGGTATATACTTAATATATATATATATATATATATAGTGTAAAAGAGTTTGGGGCGCGTAAATAGATGGTGGGAATGAAAGGAGACTTTGCTTGAGGGTTTTATTGGGAAAGGTAAAGGCGTGACCCCACGAGGAGCCCGCCGTTGGCCTGGGTGCGCGAGGGCGGGAGGGGGGTGACGCTGCTCTGTTTCTGTGGCTCCCGGTCTCTCCGGTCTGCCTCACGAGACGGTTTCTTCTGGGGTGTCCGGTTCTTGCCGGCCGTGACGAAAGGGCAAGTTGGGCGGCATTGCTCGAGGGGGAGGAGGAACTGGGCGAAGAAGGTGCGATGCCAGGAAGGAAGGCAGCGGGTAGGGCCTAGTGTGCAATAGGGCTTCTGGTTGAGCCATATTGTTGGATATAATATTATATATATATATATTTTTATATATTATATTATTATTATTAATATATATATATCATATATGGAAGAATGAAAAAATGGAAGGCTGCAAATTTTCAATGGGCAAAAGAGGAAAAATTGTGTATAGGATTTTGAAAATAAATATATCAATTCGGCCGTTTACTGGTTTGTTATTAAGTATATATATAATATATATATATATAAAATAAGCTTAATAAAAATATATATATATATATATATATAGAATAGAATATTGCGAGTTTTAACTTTTGTTTATTTGCTTACGGTGATAAAGGTTTTTCTTTGAGATTAATAATAAGTTTTTTAATAGAAACGGTAAACTAATTTTATTTCACTTTTTGTGCTGCTGGCATTTTTTTGATTTGAAATATCTTTGTATGTGGACTATGTGTATGTGAAACATACGTGTGTGATAGGCTGATGTAGCAACTGAATGAATGGATAATTGTTATTATGAGTCGCGAATGTCCTGTTTATCTAGTGAAGGAAGAGTCGAAATATGTGTATGGTCTAAACGGTTGCCACGTTTTCCCGCCAAAGCAACCTTAGCAAGCAAAGTACCCGCCCCTTGCAGCATCTCTATAATTAATGAAAGAGTATGATTATAGCCCAGAAGGAGAGTTTGAGACAATTCACTGATATGAAGAATATACATTGACAATAAGAATGAAATTTAAATATGCATTGACTAATTCTGGATAAATAGCTCATTTGCACAAGTGTTTCCATCCTTAAAGTTGATTGGGCTCACGCACGAAGCAGCTGCTTAGTTCTGATTGGGTCACGTGTACTCTGCATATGATTGGCTGTGAAAGCCTGTTTGTGTTAGGAATTACCACTTGGAGGAATTTAGTTGACGGACACGCTCATAAAAAATTGCATTTATGCCAGTGACATTCTTATTAACGCCAGTATTTCTGGGAAGAGCTGGCAGTTTAAAGTTGTTAAAGGAACTGTTTGAGTCATAGTGATAACCCAAAGACTTCAGTGTAGTCTGGAAAAGAGCACTGGAGTTGTTGGCTTGTCACCTTGCAGAGTGATTTCTACCTTCACATGGTCTTCGCATTGGTTGGTAATTAATTTTTATATACTGTAATTTGCATTATGAATAGTGAATGTGCTATTGCTCCATAGATCCATATATGTCCTAATGTGTCAAGTGCAATACCTGATATGATGTTTCATATAAGTAAAATTGGTCTCATAGATGCAAGGGTGCAGGGCTGGCTACCTTTGTTTCTATGAGATTACCTGTGGTGACCCTTGTGCCTGTGTGGTGATGAGGTGGTAAATGTGAAGCGTCAGTGCTTACTTTGATTGGATGTAAATATTGTAAATATATTTAATGTTGTGAAATTATAGACATGAAAAACTTGTCTGTCATTTTTAAGTGCTTATAGCATTCATTTATATATACGGGTAGATATGCAAGTTTAGGCTAATGAAATATTCCTTTTGTGTGTGTGTGTGTGTGTAATGAATGTTCATTGAGTCGGGCTGTTATATCTACAAATAGTTTCGCGATTAAGTTCATATATTTATGTTAATACCAGTCTTTTGAAATAAGAAAAGTAACGCATTACACATCATGTACAAGATGGTTAAACCAATGTTCTGACCTTATTTACATGTTACCATTTTTAGCTCGAATGTCTCCAGGAAAGGATTAAACCGTGTGCAAGAATCCACGAGATTATTCTTGATGCCCCTTATTGATGCAGGTGATGCTGACACGTTGCACTGGTGGCCTACAGTGTGACGTATTTGTAGTTGGAGTACTGTGTGGATATATATATATAATATAATATATATAATATATATATGTATATATATATATATATATATATAGAGGCTTGGTTAGTGATGAAAGCGATTTTGGCTTGTGGGTTTGTTGGGGATTGTAGATACGGGACCCCGTCCTCCATTTAGGTTTGCAGTGGCGAGATCCCCCTAAAGGGAGGTGACTCTGCTCCCACAGAAGTGGAAAGTGACACCTGCCTGGCTCAGTGAGGAATACTCACTACTGAGTATGAGCTATATGGCCAACACATAACGTATAATTTTTATGTATATTTATCATACTGTGATATCTATCACATCACCGTGGTCACAATCCAGCAAACGCAAATATGTCAGCAAAAACTGAGGTGGCTCCCCTCAAGGGAGGTGCTTGCTCTGCCTCCCAGAGTGGCAGAAGTGAAAGCAATGTGGACACCTGCGTCTGCTCACGGAGGAAGTTACTACAGGAAAGATGATACTGAGTATAGAAGCACTACCATCTAGCATTGTTGTATGTTTACACTCAAACAAATACCACACATATACGTATATTTATGTATATTTATCATACTGTGATATCTATCACATCACCGTGGACCAATCGTCACACCGAGTGTAGCAAATGGGTAAGAAAAAAATCGGCGCGATAGATTTCCTTTGGCACTTCC